GTGTGTGTGGCCAGCTCAGCCCACCAGGGGGCGGGGCTGGCTGGCATGTGGTGCTGGGGGATCGAACCGCGGTCCCTGTGCTTTGCCAAGCTTGTTTCAGGTAGGTGCTTTAGACCACTGAGCCATCTCTCCAGCCCCTCAGATAGCAGTCTTCATTCATTTTCTTCTTTGATTCTAGCCGGAACCTACAGAGGAAGACATTGAAAAGAATCCAGAGCTGAAAAAGCTACAGATCTATGGGGCAGGCCCTAAGATGATGGGCCTGGGTCTCATGGCCAAGGATAAGACTCTGAGGAAGAAAGGTGAGGCCTAACAGGCTGGGAATGGCTTTCATCTAGGGAGAGAAGGCTGGGCCTACGTGTCCTATACCTATGTTTAGAGCCACTTCTTTTTTTCCCAGATAAGGAAGGGCCTGAGTGTCCCCCCACTGTAGTGGTGAAGGAGGAATCAGATGGCGATGTGAAGGTGGAATCAGCCTCTCCCAAGGCCTTCCTGGAAAGCAAGGAGGAGTTGAGTCACAGCCCAGAGCCCTGCACCAAGATGACCATGAGGCTGCGGAGGAACCACAGCAATGCACAGTTTGTAAGGATTCAGCCCTGACTTCATAATGCTCTGCTTTTCATCCCTTCTATAAGCATTTCCCCAGCATGGCACTGGACCAGGTTGTATTAAGCAGAAAAGTGGGCCTGATAGACCCTACTGTCACATGGTTCACTTAATTGGGGAAACAAGACCAACTCCTTTGGAACAAAGAACAAGAAAGGGTGACCAAGTGCTGTCTACTGGTGCATGAAGTGTTAGAAGGGACCAGAGGAGGAGACTCACTGTCTCTTGCTTTAGGATAAAGGCTTAAAATCCTGATCCAGTACTTGGTGATATCTAGCCTGATTCCTCATTGCTGCCTACTTCACCCCTTTGTTATAGCCACATTGAAGTACTTGCAGATTTATTTTTCCTCTAAGACATGCCGTGCTCTTTCAATTCCTCGTTCTTTGCGCATTGTTTCTTTTCCCTGGAAGAGTTGTCCTCTGTGCTGTGCTCCATTGCCAAGTGTCAGTTTGCTGTCATATCTAGTTCAAGTGTCACCTTTTCATTGAAGTTCTTCCGCAAAGCTTTCATCACCATCTGATTTGATTGTGTCTGTAGGCTTCCAAAGTACACTTTATGGGCTGCTATTGTGAGATTTTAACTTTTATGAGCACATGTTTCTAGAACACTGTATGCCTTTGGAAGACAGATAGTATTCCTTATCCATTTCTATGCCAGAGTCCAGCATAGTGCTACTGCTGAATACAGGAGCAAGAAGTATTTATTGAAGGAATACAAATGGGACAGTTCAAGACTGAGTGATAGACTGCTTTAACAGCTCCATCTGCTTATTAGGGAGATGGTATGTGCATGCAGTTGAACTCCAGACCTTATATGACTAAATGTACTAAGCCACAAATGATCCAGCTGGCAAGTACAGTAAGATTTCTAGTGGAGAACTTTGGACTAGTGTACTATCTGGAGAAGCCTGATGTTTGAAGGCTGGACAGTGCTATGTTGATTAAATTGTTGATTAAATTCTCCTTCCCTCCCCTGGCAGATTGAGTCATACGTATGTCGGATGTGTTCCCGGGGGGATGAGGATGACAAGCTCTTGCTGTGTGATGGCTGTGATGACAACTACCACATCTTCTGCCTGCTGCCACCTCTGCCTGAGATCCCAAAAGGTGTCTGGCGGTGCCCAAAGTGTGTCATGGCGGTAAGAGCTCCCCTGCCTCAGACCACATAGGGTGTCCACGCCTGCCTTCATTTGGCCTTATGGGGAGGTAGCCTCCTAGTTCAGCCACAGTTCTATGTTTTGAGACTGTGGGGTAGGGAATGGGCTCAGCAGAGCTTTGAGAGAAAGAAACCTTTAGTTCTACCCTCTGGGAACTCCCAGACCCTGTTGGAAAGGTATCATGATTAGGTGGACTTTGTGTGGTGACATACGAGCTGTTGCTTAGTTGGGTGTTAGAAACTCTGGGATATGGCAGTTGAGAGGAAAAAATATTACTAAGAGTTGTAATCAGGGAAGGTGTCAGGAATGCTCATTGAAGTACATAGAATTTTTGAAAAAATATTTCTTTTAGGGGGCTAGGGAGATGGCTCAGTAGAATAAGTGCTTCCCTGGCAAGCGCAAGGGTCTGAGTTCAATCCCCAGTTCCGCCAAAAAAAGAAGAAGAATAAGAAAAAGAAAAATGTTCCTTTTATTTTCCGAATTTATCTACATCTCTCTTAAACAAAATAGACAAATTACCACCACCTAGAGATCATCATTGTTAATTGCCTGATATATTTTCTTATCTTTTTGCTGTTGTGTAAATGTAACTAACAACTTTGGGACAGTGTTAGTTTTATTTGTTACTTGATAGTCATTTTTCTATATTAAGTTTACTTAAAGTGTAAACTTTTTTTCATCATAGGTTTAATATTTATTTATGGTCTTCCTCCTGTTACATTTAGATTGGTTTGTAGTGGTTTACACTTGTCAGTAGGCAGGGTGGGCAAGTGTTCCAGACTGAGGGCAGAGTAGCTGGGGCAGAGTTATGTGGGAAGAATGTGCCTTGGCAGGTAGGGGTATTGAGAGCATTGGAAGCAGCATTGAGGGCCATGTGCCCAGGGAATTCTGGCAGGTCCATTTCATGAGCCTCCTACCTTTATCCAATTTCTACTGCTCAGCTTCTGCACTTCCCTGTGGGTTTCTGAGAAGGAGACATTTGATGGTCTTGCCTTATTTTAGGGACTCAGCAGTAGTTGTACAAACCAGCTGTGCACATGCACACGTATATACGTACAGATGCACATAGAGGGGGGAAAGGCCAGGGCATAATTGCCTTGGCAATAGTGGAGATTTTAGTGTAGAAAACTTTGGGTGCCCAGGAGTGTCTTAGATGACTTGTTTTCTTCTCTAAGTGGTTATGAGCCAGTGGACCAGATTATTTATTAATAGCAGACCTCATCAGGGTATGTGTCTGACTCTGGGATATACTTAGTTCTCATCTAAAATTATGAACATAGGTACATGTGAAGGAGACCCATGTCCTGTCTTTCGATATAGTCTAAAGAACAGAGTTGGACATGGTGGCACAGTATTATAATCCCAGCACTCTGGGAGGCTGAAGCAGGAGGAACACAAGTTTGAGCTCAGCCTGAGAAACATAGTGACTTAGCAAGACCGTGTCTCAAAATAATAAAGGGGCTGAGAATGTAAGTCAGTGCAAAGGCTCGGGGTTCAATTTCTAGTACTATAAGAAAACAAGCAGTGGAACAGTTTAGCATTTTACATTGTAGAAGATGGTGCTTTTCATTTTCATCTAAGAAGGTATTAGAATATTCTGTGCCATTTTCCTAGGATTGTATTTCTAGTCTAGACATCAGCAAAATTTTCCCATGCACCCTGTGTGAAGTCACTTTTTACCAGGCAGGAAAAATGGTGGTAGAGGAATATAGGACAGCATATGCAACTTGGAGCTCATGGTGTAGATAGTAAAGTCTTATTAAAGAAAAGTGTTGACTGTAATGATGAAGAAACGCTTTCTGGAGGCTGTGGGATTGAAGTTAGGTTTTATGTTTTTGTTTTGTTTTGAGATGAAGTCTTACTGTGTTGCCCAGGCCAGCCTCAAACTCCTGGGCTCAAAATGATTCTCCTGTTTCAACCTCCTGAGTAGCTGAGAGTAAAGGTGTGTGGTACTATGCCAGGCTTGAAATTGACCTAAAGCTGTTCTCATTCCCTGTTCCTACCCCACATTCTAATTCCACATGTGAGGATTCTCCTCTGCCTCTCTGTCATGGTGACATGTTCTCCTTTGGGTTGCAGGAGTGTAAACGGCCCCCTGAAGCCTTTGGCTTTGAGCAAGCTACCCGGGAATATACTCTGCAGAGCTTTGGGGAGATGGCTGACTCCTTTAAAGCCGACTACTTCAACATGCCTGTGCATGTAGGTGATGGAGGGCTGGGGTAGTGTTGGGATTAGGGTCATGGATGTTGGTACCTAATGGTTTCGCCCCATCTGGGGTAGTGGGGCTAGGACAAAATGGGCCATTGTCATCTACTACCCTTGTTTCCCCAGATGGTGCCCACAGAACTCGTAGAGAAGGAGTTCTGGCGGCTGGTAAATAGCATTGAGGAAGATGTGACTGTTGAGTATGGGGCTGACATCCATTCCAAAGAATTTGGCAGCGGTTTCCCTGTTAGTGACAATAAGCGGCACCTAACCCCTGAGGAGGAGGTGAGTGGATAATTATCATGGTTGTATTTTAGCTTTGTCAACTTAAGCAAATCATTTGGTATCTGAAGGACTCTGTTTCTGTGTAATTGGAGATAATGGTACCTGTATACATTTGCTGTGAGGCTTGGATAAAATGCTGCAAGTAAAAGACACAGCCTATTATTGGTGTGTGGAAAGGTAACGTAGGAAAGATAATGTATACACTCATTTACCTCTCTGAGCTTATTTCCTTATCTGAGAATAATACCTAACTTAGAAACTTTTAAAAGAATTAAATGAGAAAGTGTGTGCAATAAGCTGGCGAAGTGTGTTGCTCATTCGTAAGAAGTGTCTAGGAAGTTAGATTTGGACGCACAGAAGAAATTCAGGGTCCAGGCCTGTTGCAAGGGGCAAAGTGTATTTGGGTTCAGAGCAGGATTTTGTTTTAATGTTTCTTTTAAATTTATCTAAAATGGGGCTGGAGAGATGGCTCAGTGGTCTAAAGCACCTACTTGGAACAAGCTTAGCAAAAGCATCAGGGACCGCGGTTCAATCCCCCAGCACCACATGCCAGCCAGCCCTGCCCCCTGGTGGGCTGAGCTGGTCGGTCGGTCTCTCTCTCTCTCTCTCTCTCTCTCTCTCTCTCTCTCTCTCTCTCTCTAAAATAAAAAAATAAATAAATAAATAAAATAAATAAATAAAAAAATTAAAAAAAAATTTATCTAAAATGCAGAAAAATATTAAAATTGTACATATGGGGTACTGTGTGATATTGCAGTACTTGTGTACATTGTGTAATGTTTTAATCAGTAAACAAATCTATTTCCTCAAACATTTGCCATTTCTTTATGGTCAGAACATTCAAAACCATTCCTAGCTCTTTAGAATATGTAGTCACAATAACATACTAAAACTTCTCACTCCTTTCTAACTGTAACTTAATAGCAATTGATCAACCTTTCCCAGTCCCTCTTCCTTACGTTCTTCAGCCTCTGAGAATTACTATTCTACTTGGCTTCTGTGAGATCAACTTTAGTTGTAGAGTCTACATGAATAACATGCAATACTTGTCTTTCTGTGCATGGTTTATTTTTTGTTTTGTTTTGTATTTAGGACAGGATGTACAGGGTGTACAAGGTCTCACTGCGTAGATTGGACTCGCAGTGATTCTCCTGTTTACTGCCTCCCAAGTGCTGGGATTACAGGCACACGCCACCACACCCAGTCTTATTTTACTTAAAATAGTGATCTCCACTTCTATCTATGTTACTGCAAATGACAATTTGTCCTTTTTTATGGCTTTGTAGTCTTTCATTGTGTTATGTGTGGTATATTTTCACTGTCCATTTACCAGTGAGTGCTACTGTATATATGAGAGCACACATATCTTTTCAACATACTGATTTCCTTTCTTTTGGATATATACCCCATAATGAGATTACTAGATCATATAGTAGTTTTGGTTTTCATTTTTTGAAGATTCTCCACACTGTTTTCTAATATGACTGTTTTGTAAAATGACTACTTACATTTTTTACCAGTGTGCAGGGGTTCTCTTCACATCCTCACCGCACTTATGTTTTTATTCTTTTTATTTTTTTATTATTTTTTGTGTGTGTGGTATTGGGGCTCAAACCTAGGGCCTTGTATATGCTCAGCAACTGCTCTTCCACTGAGCTGTATTTTAAGCCTGTTTAACTTTTTGATAATAGCCTTCTTACTGATGTGAGGTGATACTTGATTGTGTTTTGACTTGTATTTACCTAATGATTAATGATATTGAACATTTTTTTCATGTACCTATTTGTATGTTATCCTTTGAGAATGTCTACTTAGATCTATTGCTCATTTTAAAGTTGGGTTATCTGGTTTTTTTGCTATTGAATTGAGTTTCTTATTCTGGATATTTGTCTCAAACATACTCTTTGCAAATATTCTCTCCCTGTTCCGTATGTTATCATTTTTGTTTTATTGATTGTTTTCTTTACTGTGTAGGTTTTTAATTTGATTAAATTTAATCCCACTTAGCTTTTTGTTTACTGTGCTTTGGGCTTCTTGTCTAAAAATCCTAGACAATTTTAGTGTTTTAAAGTGTTTTCTATGTTAATAGTTTTATGTCTTATGTTTAAGTACTTAATCCACTTAAGGTTCATTTTTGTTCATGATGAGAAGTAAGCATCTAGTTTTATTTTTCTGCATGTTGAAATCCAGTTTTTTTTTTTTCCAGGACCATTTGTTGGAAAAAATGTTCTTTCTCCTGTGCATATTCTTAGCACCTTTGTAAAAAATCGGGTGGCAGAGCAGGCATTTTTAACTCGTGGGTATTTTGGGGATGGATGTATCTATAAATCTCTTTGAAATTGAAGCGAATTGAACTAAAAAAATTTTTTATATACATTTTGGGGGGAAGGGAGGGGAAAACATATATTTTAGATGTTTAGGTATGACTCTGCAATTAAGGTTCTCTAGGCTAAGCAAATCACATACGATCTCAGTTCCTTATTGTAACCCTCATGCCGTCTGTACAAATACCTGACTTGACAGGAGTATGCCACGAGTGGTTGGAATCTGAATGTGATGCCAGTGTTGGAGCAGTCTGTACTGTGCCACATCAATGCAGATATCTCTGGCATGAAGGTGCCCTGGCTTTATGTGGGCATGGTCTTCTCAGCTTTTTGCTGGCATATTGAAGATCACTGGAGTTACTCCATTAACTACCTCCACTGGTGAGCAGGGCCTTGGGGAATAGCTGGGAGGTAATCAGGATGGACTCCCTATATGACCATTTTGTTTCCCCTTTCTATTTGATCAGGGGTGAGCCAAAGACCTGGTATGGAGTACCCTCACTTGCAGCAGAACATTTGGAAGAAGTGATGAAAAAGCTGACACCTGAGCTTTTTGATAGCCAGCCTGACCTCCTACACCAGCTTGTCACCCTCATGAATCCCAATACCCTCATGTCCCATGGCGTGCCGGTGAGTTCCAAGAACCATGAACAAGGGTTGGAATGGTTTAGTTATGTTCTTTTTGGTGAAGTGGTAACCTTTTTCTGGAATTTACCTCTGTCCATTGCTCATTCCTTTTCTATCTCAGACTGTAGATGTGACTGTTCTAATAGAGACCAACTGTTTAGTGGTTAGATATACAATAAGATAGCCTTCTGAGCCATATATTTGAGAGCAGTATCTTAGGGTTAGCTAAATACCACATTTACATCCCAACAAGTAGAAGAAAAAGTAAGACTGGTGGAATTAAAGGATCTCCTTTTAAGTGTGCAGTTATTTCCATTCATATCCCATAAATGAAAACTTGATCACATGGCAATATCTACGTGCAATGAAAACTAGGAAATGTGATTGTTACCTTGGATGGTTTTATACCATCTGAAAATTCCAAGGCTATGTTATTATTAAAGAAGATAATATCAGGAGAAGTTAGCTGTCTGTATTGTAGTTTGCATAACACTTCTCCAAGCAATGGCTGTCTTTTTACTTAAGTCAGAAGTTGAGCCTGTTATCTTGGCCTATTGTCTTTCTCTGAGTACTTTTCTTTCACCCTATAAAAGATTTTTCTAGGTATAAAACTTGACTAACCTATAAGGAACTTTATATTCCTGGGACTTTCTCTAGCATTGATTAGCATTGGCCAGTTTACTTGTCGATTTTATTTTATTTTTTAGTTTTTATTGTAATAAATACCATATGAGTTTTTGCTAGAATAATGAATTCAGTTTGGCATGTACGTGGTTGGATAAAATAAGCTATTATATATTTGAAAGGCTTGTTACAAATTATACAGAATAGAAAAAATAAAGTCTTATAAACAAGATAAGCTAATTATAATATTGCAAAATGAAATAAATGTCAGAAAAAATGCACAATTTCCCTAGTAAACTGTCCTCAAAGCACTGACCAATGCACACGCACATATACACACTCATAATTAACACACATTATCATTCGGAAAAATGTTATAAAATACAATGATTCATGTGTCCTTATATGCCCTGATTTTCAGAAATAAACAGTTTATTATAGTAGAAAAAAACAGTTTATTCAGTATCACAGTGTGGAATCCTGTCTTTCTGATGACTGTCTCTTATAAAGGATAGAAGTGTAGTGAACCATTCCTTTAATAGTTAAAAAGACTGCAAACTGCAAGAAATGAATATTTAAGGTTTACTTACACACACACACCCCTAGTGCTAGAAATTTAGGCTAAATCTTTGTTTTTATTCTAAGGGTAATATTTTCAGTTTTAAGTGACAAAAAAATAAAGATGAATATCTTTTGTAACCTCTTCAGTCATCTTACAAGTTGTCTGGATCTTCAAACAGCCTGGTCAACAGTCCTGTAGAAATAGAAATTAATATATATCTTTCTCTTCTTTCCCCTCCCCTCCCCTCTCTTTTTTGTGGGCATCTCACTGTGTAGTACAGGTTGGCCTTAAACTCACTTATGTATACCAGGCTGGCCTCAAACTCAGGGCAATCCTCCCCGCTTAGCCTCCCAAGTCCTGGGATTACAGGCATATACCGCCATGTCCAGCTACGTCTCTTCTTTATTCTTATTATGTGCTACTATTCTTCCTTATTCCCTTTGACTTATCAGTACTATTAGTCCCTGATCTTCTGTACATTATATATTCTGACTAGATCAGTGGCTTGCACCTGTATTTCTAGCCTTTACTTTGCGTTGATATGGTATATTCTGTGAATAATATTATTGCATATTTCATCAAAGATCTAGAATTGGACAGGAGAAGAGGCATCCTACAACAGATCAGACAACCTGTCTCCTCTCATAGGCACTCTCCTCCCTCTGCCTTACCTCTTTTAAGGATTGCTGGACTTAATGATCAAGGAGTGCTGAGGGTAGAGTGTGTACTTAGCATTTGTGAGGTTCTGCATTCAATTGTAACAGCACCACACACAAAAAAAATGATCAAAGCCCTTCATAGTTCTGCTTCTTCTCAAGCAGACATTGGGGCTAGGAATGATGGCACACACCTGTAATCCTAGCACTTGCAAGGCTGAGGCAGGAGGATCACAGTGAGTTTGAGACCAGTCTGGACTATGTAATGAGACATTGTCTTAAAAAGTCAAGTGGACACTGGGTCTTTTTCTGGACCCTTCTCCCATAGCACAGTATCAGTCAGTGTCTATAATGCCAAAGAAAACTGTTAAAAGAAGATTCTCTTAAGGATTCTTGTAGCCAAGATGCACATACATAAAGTGTATATGTTCAGCCTTTTTTTTTTTTTTTTAAATAATGTATTTAGTACAGAGTGTACAGGGTCTCACTATACAGATTGGACTTGTAATGATCCTTCTGTTTTCAGCCTCCCAAGCACTGGGATTACAGGTGCGTGCCACCACGCTCAGTCTCAGTCGCTGTCTCAGTGTGCCCCTGGGGTTGGGACTGGCTTCTTTTTAGAAAAGTAATTATAGACTTTTTTTTTTTTTATTATAGACTTTTAAACATGTGCTCTTTGCTTTCCCTTCTGTGGCATTTCTCTTGCTCATGACTCGCCAGTTTCTCTGGGCACTTGTTGTTTTAACACCTTTCCCTCTTGTCTGCCCTGAACTTGGCAGTATTCCCACCCCCCTCCAATCCAGGGCATCGGGGATTGTCATGTTCTTTTTTTTTTTTTTTTTTTTCCTTTTTTTAATGAACAGGATATATTTATTGAGGGAAAGAAAGCTCCGGTCTGAGAGAGGGACAAGAGGGGGGCCTGAGACGGTTGTTGTTCCTGTCATGTTCTGATACTGGCAGGCCACAGTTATTATTTTCTTTTTTAATTTTTATTTATTTATTTTGTGTGTGTGTGTGTGTGTGTGTGTAGCCAGCTCAGCCCACTGGGGGCGGGGCTGGCTGGCGTGTGGTGCTGGGGGATTGAACCATGGTCCCTGTGCTTTGCTGAGCTTGTTCTAAGTAGGTGCTTTAGACCACTGAGCAATCTCACCAGCCCATATTATTTTCATTTAAAAAGATACATGCTTCTATTATAAGAAAATGTAGGGGTCTTCCCTACTTCTTTCATTCTAAACATTTTGTTGTTTCCCTAAGTGGTTTTTCTGTAAAAATTTTTATATATTATTATCTAGTGTATAGATTTTATGCTCTCTTTCATAAGTTTGGTGGTCTAGAGCTGCACTGTCCAATTTGGTAGCCACTGGCCACTTGTGACTATTGAGCATTTGAAATGTGGCGAGTCCCAGCTGAAATGTGCTGAAAGTACAAAATACCTATTGGATTTCAAGACTTACAAAGAATGTAAAGTATCTCACTAATACTTTTTGTATACCAGTTACACATTGAAATTATAATATTATGTCTTTGTTAAATAAAATATATTGAAATTTACCTCTTTCTTTTTACTTTTTTAACATGGCTACTAAAGAGCTTAATTTAAAAGTGCCTATGTGGTAGCATATTTCCCTTGGACAGCGCCAGTCTAGAATGATTTTATATATTATTTTTGAAAAATGGTTTTATTGGGGTGTGACTTACATACCATAAAATTCACCCATTTCAAGTACACAATTCAGTAAATTGACATAGTTATGGTGCTGTCACCCAGTCCAGTTTTAGAATATTTTAATCACCCCAAAAATATTCCCTTATGCCCTTTTGTAGTCACTCCCCATTCCAGCATCTAGGACTAGACAACCATTTGTCTGTTTTCTGGCCTTTCTGGCCGGTTTATATAAATAGAAGAAAAACAATATAGTCTTTTGTGTAGGGCTTCTCTCATTTAGTATGTTGTCCTAGTTCATCGTGCTGCAGCATGTATCAGAATTTCGTTCCTTTTATGTTTTAACAGTATTCACTTTACCAGTTGATGAACATTTGGGTTGTTTTTACTTTTTGGCTATTTGCATTTGTTGTTGTCAACAGCTACAGCATGTGAGAGGAATAAAAGTACTATTACCAAAATGAGGGTATAAGTTGAGGTGAAGAGTCAAGAATAGAGCATTAGATTTTACTCCTGGCCCTACTACCTGAAGCTACGCTGGGACATAGTTTTATGTCTGTAAAATTGAGACTGGGGCTGTATCATTGAGTAGATATTGCTAGGGAGTGTTCTGTGTGCAAAAGCCTGTGGTCCACAACTTGCAAGGTCAGTGAACCAGTCCTTGCCTTTGGGCATACACAGCCCAGTAAAGTGGACAGTAGCAGGAAACAAGTGGAATAAAGTGTAAGAAATCCTATAAAAGAACAGGCTGGGTTTAGGAGTGGGTGTCAAGAAAGTTTGTAGACATGGTGGTCTATCCAAATGAGAATTGGTCTGGCAGAGCCATGGTTTTTAACCATCTGGGCATGGGGATTCAAGTGAGATGCTCAGCAGAGGAATGGCATGATTTGTGATTGACAGTGTAGGCCAGTGCAACCGACAAGGAGTATTTAGAGGCTGATGCTGCCACTGAGTAAAGATTGGTTTAAGAAAAATACAGGAGATGATGGCCGATGTATGATCTGTACAAATGTGGGAAGATTTAGAATTGTTGAGATGTTAACTTGTCCCAAATGAATGTAGAATCTTAGCAGAGGAATCATTAAATTGAAGAGTATAAAGTTTTTTTTGTTTGTTTGGTTTTTTTTCCATTTTAAGACAGGGTCTTGCTGTGTAATTGAGGGTGGCCTCAAATTTGTGGCTGTCAACCTGCTTCAGCCTCCCAAGTGCTGAGATTACATGGGTGAGCCACCACTCTCAGCTCATTTGAGGTTCTCGATAACAAATTTATAGCCTGTTGTATAGCTCAGAGCCCTAGGTTCTATCCTCAGCACTCCCTTGAGCCCAGCCCACCCACCAAATTACTTTCCAGTGGGAAGATTTTATTGATTCCATTGTCAACACTCTGCCTGTATCACTGTGCCTTTGCCATCATTGAATGTTCCATCTTTAAAAATTGAGGCTTTTTTTGGACCAGCCAAATAGCTCAGCGGATTAAAGTGCCTGCAAGCAGGTGCAG